AAACTCTGAAGCAATTACAACTTGCAGCAGCACATGCAATATGCCTTTAATTAGCAAATAGTTGAAGCCGCCTCTGCCGGATCGTGTTTGTATTCTAATACAAGATTATAAGTTCCGCAAAGCATTGGGAACGTAAAATCTATACTTGTTGAATATGTCTGCGTGTGCGACATTTGTTATAAAAAATAAATAATTGAAAATGAGGAATATTAAATAAATCGAAATCATTACATTTATATTACAATACTCATATAAAAATGTTATAAGATTTAAAATTAATCAACAATATTAATATGCTTATAAGTACAGTAATACCTCGTATAGTTCGGCTTAGATCAGTCCGGATTTACTATCCGTACTACTGAAAATTTTAAAACAAACAAAATTCTATAAAATTGGTACACAATTATTTTCTTGTACATAAATATATTTTTTAAAAAATATCTTCTATATGGTTTTAAAGTTCTTGATTAGTCCGGTTTCAAAGATTGTTGGAACCATATGCACTTTTGTACTTTTTTTCTGTTCTCTGTATGACAGTGGTTCTCAATACAAGACCCACGAGTACATTGGTGCCCGTCGACCAATTTGCTGCTATACCACAAAACTTTAAGTATATTGCAGAGTTTCTCAACCAATAGGTTTGGTTAAATTTTTAATTGGTCGCGAAATGACAGCTGTCACTTGGCACAAGTTGGTATTCTATGATATTTCTTAGACTCTGGAAAATTTCAATATACGTCTATATTCTTATAAGTTTAAATTAGTCAGAATATGTAATAATTACGATAAACGTAGTTTATATTTATCTCCCAAATAGTCAATAAAACAGCGATTCTTAACCGGAGGACGCGAAAATATTAGATTTTTTATGTTTTGATATCTTTACAAATCAATATAGTTTCTATAAGTCTGGGTTTTACACTATAGCAAATATACATTAATTTCTTTATTTTTCAAGAAATATTTTTATTACTGATAAAGCATTTTGTGTTAATTGCATTTCGCTTCTGTTGACATATTGCCATGAAATATTTCTAAATGAAAAAAAAAAATAAAATTTGGTCATAAATTTCGACGACAAGAAATTGGATTGCAAAACTTTCTTACTTGGAAGACACATGTTTTCCATGTGAGATAAAATAGAGGAGATTCAAATGTATTCGATAAATAGAATCGAATGTTTTCGAAATCTTTCCAAATTATTCTCAAATGATTACAGATAATTGTGAATGTGATAAAAAAATCATACAAATCATACAAATTATTTAATTCTCAAAAAAAAAATTGAACAATTTCACAAATATTTTCCAAATAATGAACTTGGGCCCTCTCGGTGCCATCATTCATCACAGATGGACAGTGAAATGAATGAGAATTGACAAAGAATTTAAGTTTGATTTCAGTTTTCAAGAAAAAAGGTTTAGTGCAATTTTGAATACATATACACCTGTTTTATCGCTTTTGTTACCACATATCTGTGTGAGAAGACAAATTGTCTATATTAAAAGAAAACTATGTAATAGACTCTTGCATGCGAATAGCGTTGATTAACGCATTTGAAGTGCGGATAGACAAAATAGTGAAGTGTATTCAACAACAGAAATCTCTATTTTAAAACAGCGTGCCGCGAAAATATTTGAAAATTTTAAGGGGGACACGAATATATTTTAGGATATTAAGGACGCCGCGACTACTAAAAGGTTAAAAACCACTATAATCGAGTATTTAAAAGTTGAAGTCTATGTTAAAGTTATTGAATTAAAATATGATCATGAAAATGTGTATTTTCGCATAGTTTATAAGTTAGTTATTACAAAGTTTAGTATCATAGTAATTCCAAATTTATATGCTAATGATTGATGGAATAATTTGTCCTCACTTAACTGAAAGCAAATATAGTTGCTATTGTTAGCGTATAAATTGCTTTCTTATATAAAAAAAAATGTGACAAACATAAGTTAATCCTGTATACACATAAAAAAACTTTGCTCCCTTCAGTTGTGTTTGTGCCTCTAATGCATTGCTGTTTACAACTAAGTTTCCCTTTTCAAAACTTTATAAATAGATTGTGTTGTTACGTAAATGGAAACCGTTTGCTATTATTTTTTCAGGTCGTAGTACGTGACATGACGTCCTGAAAAGAATGGAAAAAAAGGTGCATTGAAGAAGTATCGATCGTTCTCGACGTGAAGAAATTACTTATGTTGCACTAACATGAAAAGTCATTGAAATTATAATGCTTTTACTTCAGAAAAGTTGTATATTTCTACACGAAACTGTTTTTGCATTCCTGAAATATTTATTTTATTTAAGTCGTGAACGGATGGATGCGTTTATTTGAATTGTATTTCGTCATTACGATCTAAACAAATTTAAGAAAAATAGCATTTTATTTTTAAAGAAATCATTAAAGTTTATATAGAACCACGTTCTTGGAATATCGAGTATTTTTATATCTAGACACAGAAATTAGATTTTATTTATTTGCTGATGATTTAAATCAGTTTAGAAAGTAGTTTTTAAGTTCATAATTAATTGATAATTATGTTTTAATAATTAACATTTTTTAAATTTTAGGAAAATTAATAGTAGTTCAAATTATAATAATTATTTTTTATTAATTAGCAACAATGAAATTAATGTATAAAAGTAGTATTACTATTATAAAGTAGTTCAAATTAATATTTATTAAAAATTATGAGTCAATTTTTCTTATCTGGGCAATTTATAATAAAGTTTAAAGTTTTAAATGTCCAAATATAATACCTCGCATACTGCGGTTATCGATTCCGCCAATATTCCGTTCTCTTTGAGACAGGACTAATTGAGGAACTAAATAAAATTGAAGAAAAAAATAAAATTTAGTTTCTTTTCAAATCAGACTTCAAATCAGAGAAAAAATATAATAATTTCATGTTTTTTTTATACATATATATTTAATTTTTAAATATATTCTATCAATGTAATTGGGTCAATCAAATTATGGAATATGCGCATTTGCATTAAATGTGTAATGTGTAATATATATATAATGCATGCAAAATAAATGTAAATTATATTAAATTTCGTGTTAATAGCACTTTATTTAATTAGACCCACCTAGCTTTTATCATATTACGTGTATATTTGTACAGTTTAATTAAATTAATACCGCATTTTTCGGAGATTAATTGTGCTTTTGCATTTACGTTGTCAGCAATAATGTGCTTTTTACTTTGCTACAATTACTTTTCAAAATACATTTTTTTAATTAAAACCGTCATGAATCATTTAAATATGAAATATTATTATTGAATTTTGCCATTTTTGTTTTGATTTGAGGTCACCTACATTTTTTAAAAAATAATGTTTAAATTTTTATTAATAAGATTTAAAATATAATCATAGGTCTTTAGGATATTTGTATACATTTACATTCTTTCTTTCATTACTTTAATCAGAATTATTGTTGATTAAATAAATAAATGTAAGAAATTTATAATGAATTACATTTTTTTAGTCTGACCTAATTCCTTCTGTTTTTTAACATTTTAGTAAAACAGTTAAGAATTCTTGTAAATTATTCAATTACAATTATTCGATTTTGATATGCGTATAAAAAAGTTATTAGTTTGCTTTATCACATTCATATGAATAATTATTATTGACCTTTTATCGTTTTACGAATAATATATTAATTAAAGCGATATTTTTTTGTACCATAAATATCTTTAAATTTAAATGACAAATTATTAATTAGTTCTTGTACTCAATATGTCAGTAAATCAATTATATTTAAAAAAATGCATTTTCCGCATTGTATAAAAAAAACTTCTTAATAATAATTTATTGGGCAGAAAATATAATATATTTTAATACAAAATAAAGATAAATATCTATAGTACTAATAATTTATTAGTAATGTAATAATACACAAATACCTTGAAGCGGTTTCGATCAGTGGATATTTTACTAGTATTCAGCATATTATATAATATATATAGTATAAAATCGTTTTTTGCTTCTGCATACAATCAAGTTTTTTTTGTTCTTTTGCAGTTTTAAAGTCCAGCGCACAACTGAAAAATGAAAAACAACTAAAATCGCGTAAATCCGAAATCGCGTAAGTCGAAGAGGAATATTTCCTATGTAATGAATTAACATTATACAATAAACTAAAATGTGAATGTGCTACCAAGTTAACGCTCATAATGAATCTTGCATCTCTCAATTTAATAATAATAAATACAAATAAGTTTATTCCTAATTGTAATTCAGTTATTGTTTATTGTTGTTATTATTTCTTTGTCGACGTTGAAAGCTTTTGATCTTTCAAATCAAGCTTTTGATAATTATTTTATATATAGAAACATCTCAGTTTAAGGTATAGCCAATAAAATTATAAAATATTTTTATATGTACAATTACTTAAAATTTCTAAATTAAAGTATAATTTTGTAAAAGCTGAATAAAATTATGATTGTATGTCAGGAGCAAGAATTTGTGGATAATAGTGTCAAGAAATGTTCCTACATTGGGGATTTCTTTCTATACATAAATAAATAACAGGTAAATAAAATTAATATAATAAAATAAGTAGGCTAGAAAGACCTATGGTCAATAGCCCTTTGTATAAGTTGACTTTTTTGAAATTATATATATTTATTTTGTTCTTTTTATTTCTGTATATGTTTTTTTGTACGACTGATGCAATAAACATTATTATTATTATTAAAACAAGTTTATGAAAATTTGGGATTTCCATGGAATAATTAATATATCATCGATTGCTTGAAAATATAAAAAAAAAGGTCAGAAAAACTAGTGGACAATATTTCTTGCAGTACTTAAACAGAATTATTTCTTTAAATTCAAATCAAATTTATTCATTAGGCATAAATTTATTCATTGAGGATATAAACAGATTTATTTTTATTATTATATTTGTTATTGGGAAAATTCCGGAAAAAGCGTTAATTAAATCTTGTAAACAACAATTCGAATTTATTTTGTTGCAGTTGACGTCCAGTGATGAAATTACCCGAAGAAGAGAGACGGCCTTACGTCAGCATTCGTTTTTTCAACTGCGGATATACTTGCGCCGAGGCCATGGACTGGTTGCAATGGATAAAAATGGTAAAGATCTGGTATTTTCTTTTTTTTAAGAATAAAACACAAAGAAGACGCGTTTTATTCAGTTTACGTATTTACAAGTATATATTGCAAGATAAAGATTAATGCTGCACTCGTTAATGAACTTTTCCTTGTTTTTCGTAAGTTCGTGCAACTGCGTCAATTCAGTTTCTTTGTTAAATACAGCTTTGTTTATCATCAAGTAGCTGGTGCTGCGATTACGTGATACTAAAACTATTTATGACTTATTGTCTGCAATAAAATATTCGTTTAGTACCGATGATTTGAAACAATCAAATAAGTAAGACCGTGGCAACGAGTAATCTCGGTGCACATAAAACCAATCCGGTTTTCGAACGTCTGGAATAAATCGTTGTGTTCACCTAATTTTAGACCCATTTGCAGAAGCTATCATTGCCTGAGTACATAAACTCATGCCAACTACTTGTTTGAATGAGGAATTTATTTATACAGTCCTATATGGAATTCAGGATTTCCGATTTAATTATCAGATTTATATTTGAATTTATTTAACATGCAACCATTGATTGGTATGGTCTAGATCAGGTCGGCAATTTCTGACTCTTACATGTGTCTCTAAAGAAAAATTGAGAATGAAACTATTATAGTTTCCTAAATACAAATTATAATAATACTTATTGCAACAAATTACCATAATAAAAACTCAACACAATAAAATAATAAGAAAATTAAAACCAAATTGATTTGGCTGCAAACAATAAATATATGTATAACTCTTGAATATTTTTTAAATCGTTGTGAGGGGTAGGTTTGACTCTTTCAACTCAAACGTTTGTAGCCTCTTATTATAGGCAAATTCAAATTCAAAAATAAATTTATTTACATACATAATTATAGACCCTTTTACAATTTGCATTCATCTTGTTACAAATCTCTCAACATAATTATTTTGGGTTAGCATCGGTTTATATTTCTTACACTTTTAACAATATTATGGAGATAATTGCCGGAGCAATTATTTACAGTTGAAGTGTTTAGGATACTTTATTTTATCTAAAATGCATTAAAAAAATATATTAGACCTCTGGGGCCTTATCAATTGCTTATGTAAGGAGTTGGTGTTGGATGGGAGAGGGTGATGGAGAGTATTTACATGTGGAAGATAGAGAGGTTTTGGTATGAGAATTTATGTTTTAGGTCCCCCCCTACACCTATTGTGAGTTCTTACATTTGCGACTTCTGAACACAGTCTATTATTATTTAATTGCAAACTCTAAAACTTTTCTATTCCAGCTTCTTGCACTAGGACGGTGATTGTAGTGTCCCTTTCGCGATTCAGAGCTAGTCGAAGACATTTGTTTTCAAAGATTTTAAGTTCCTTTTTGTGTATTTCCGCGTCGTCACACCAGACGAGTGCCACATATGTTATGATGGGTCTAAGTAATTGCTTACACAACAGGATTTTGTATCTTCTTTCAAGTGGGCTGTTGACGCACAACAAGGGGTAGAGCGTCCGCAAGGCCCTTTGTGCCTTGTTTAGAGATTTATTGATGTGTTCCTTTAAACGTAGTGTATCGAGTGTTACTCCGAGATACTTAATTCAGATGTTTTGATCGCGATTTCTTTACCGTTAATTACCAAGAGTGACTCCTGCGGGACTCCCGCCCCTATGTTGTGGTTAGACGATGCTTTATCACCCAGGAAGACGTTGAAGGTTCTATCCGTCAGGTAGGATGATGTAAGTTCGATTAATTCTGGAGGAAAATTCTGCATTCTGCACAGGAGTGCCCTATGCCATACTTTGTCAAAAGCTTTTTCTACGTCTAGAAGAGCCATTGTCGTTAGATTTGATTCCTTTTGATTAAAATTATAAGTGATATCTTTAACAATTCTTGCAACTTGCTGTGTTGTACTGTGTTTGCGTCGAAAGCCAAATTGTTCATCTTTGAGTATATCAAACGTATCTAGATGATCTAGTTTAAGCATAGCGTTCATTACATTCATTAACTGAACAATGACTTTTCTAGAGAGCGCCTTCAGCAAGATTCCTTGGACATGGTATCTTATCATAGACAATTGAGCTGATGATGATGATGATGATTATCGTAACCCTTTAGAAGTCAATCTTTTATTGTAAATATCAAAACAAGGGCTCAACCGGGATTTGAACCCGGGACCTCTCGCACCCAAAGCGAGAATCATACCCCTAGACCATTGAGCCGATGAAAATGTTTATTTCCACCTTTTAGAACCCCCCGCACTCCCCCTCAAAAATCTGAATATCAAATAAAGTTAGACCTCGTTTAGCGCTTCCTTGGTTAACGTTGATTCGATATAACGCAATAACCGCGTTATATAGATTCAACGTTGCAGTCTATTTAATTTGAAAGTATTTTTTATTAATACTATTAGTAGTAGTATTTGTGTTGGTACCAATTCAAATATTCTGTAGACTAAAAGTTAATTAAGTTGTATTAGGATTCCTAATACTTTTTTTGATTACCTGGACTCGAAACAACTGTTTAAGGCATTCCCGTGAATTCTCGGGACTCGATAAATCTAAAAAAATAATGTAAAAATTGCTGGTTTATATCTTAATGTTATCGCATTTTTTATATCTATAAAATTATATTTAATAAATGTAATAAGTGTGTTTTGAATTCTCATTTCTTAGGAAAACATTTAATATTAGATCAAATTAAAAGTAATATGTTCACTTCAAGGAAAATATTATGTTTGTAACGTAATATCTGAGAAGATTGTTAAAAGTTGTTTGGGTATGGCAGTTGAGTAAATGCTGTTTACAAACGAGGAAAATAAAATGGAAACTTGGGACGCAGCTGGTAGACCTATTTCTTTTCCTATAGGCAAACATAGTTACATTACAAACTTCAATTTCATATATTTTCTAATATTACAAATTACATAATGCTTTTCAATTATACGTTTATACTATATGAAAATTCACGTTATGAAAACGTCTATAAAAATATTAAAAAAATATACAGTACTCAATTTACACGTTTTTCTCAGGAACCTATCTACCGTGCAAAACGTGGGATTATACACCTATCCAAAGAAGAAAACTCTATGAACAACAGTGTTTTCATATAAGTAGACATTATTACACACAAAAATATAAATATTTCATCAAAAACTATTGATTATCAATGATATTTTTTATTTTTAGAATAAATCTATATTATATAGCTGATTTCATGAACAATTAAAAAATATGTTTACGTATTTTATAAGAGTTATGATACAAATTGCAGAATTCTATAGTTTGCCAATTAACTTTATTTTCATCATAATTGTTTTGAACATTTTATAAGGATTAATTAACTATCTTTTTTATTCAGAAAAATGGATTTTTTATTTATTTTCATTAACTCAATTCAGTAAACAATAAACACATAATAATGTAATATATCAGGACAGAAAGACCTTTATATCAGTTAACTTTTTTGAAATTATATATATTTATTTTGTTCTTTTTATTTCTGTATATGTTTTTTTGTACGACTGATGCAATAAACATTATTATTATTGTAATATATCATTTATTCATAAGGAAATATATTATAGAAAATATATCATTTGTATACAACTTAATTATAACAGCTTAAGAACTATTGCGGGAAGAGAAAGGTAAAGTTTATATGAAGAAAAATTGATGGCATTGATTGAGAATATGGTCAAACAATGGATTCACAGTTTCAATTTGAATGATGTGATAAGCGTATTAGAATTAGGTTTTTATAGAACGCGGTACGAATTAATTTGATTTTTGCTAATTATAAGTTTCTTATAATGTGGTTTTCACATTACGTGGTTAATTGTAATCGCATTATATGAGGATTGATTGTAGCGTTCTTTAAGAGGAGTCGCATATACTTTTAAGAAAATTAAACACAAATTGCGCCCATGATAATACTTAGATTGGTGATCGGTACCCTTTACCAAACTAATGAAAAGTTTCTTCAGTAAAACATAATATAAAATTAATAACATACCAATCTTGGTTGTTTTCCTACTCATTCTTTGGGGGCTCGCAGAAACTTTGTAAGCCCTAAAGGGGGACGCAGAAACTTTTTATGTCCAAAAGGGGGTCGCGGACCAAAAAGTTTGAGAATCATTGGCATATATAATCAGAAAATACTCATTAAATATAAAATTACTTTTAACAATATTCCGTTCATTCAATATATTATATAATCCACGTGCTGCATTTGGTATGTTGGTTGAATACACATTGATAAATTGCAGTGTGAATGTATAAATGAATATCAAATTTGTCAACATCAAACGTAACCGATTTTTATTTAATGAAAGTATTAAAATCATCGACAAAATTTGAGTTAATTATCAATATGTAATTTGATTTGTTTCAGGAACCAGCGATCCTTATGTTAAATTCAAATGCGGAGGGCGGTTAATTTATAAGTCGCGAACTGTCTACAGAGACTTAAATCCCGTCTGGGACGAGAGTTTCACCGTTCCAATCGAAGATCCTTTTGTTCCTATAATTATTAAAGTCTTCGATTATGATTGGGGTTTACAGGTAAGTCGTTTCATACATATTATTACATAAATCTTTTTCTAATAGGATTTACAGTTGATTTTGAAGTTATTAATTATATGAATTAAATATGTTTTTTTTTGGTGGATTTACAGGACGACTTTATGGGTTCGGCACAACTGGATTTATCCACTCTGGAGCTCTCGAGATCAATGGATTTAACGTTGATGCTGCAGGATCCTGTCAGACCGACGACTTCGTTAGGAGAGATCATCTTAACAGTAACTCTGCAGCCCAAATCGCAAGAGGACAAGGATCAGGTAAATATATATATAAACCTTTTCGAATACTCTTGTCCAATTTACGTTGCACTGCGTGTGATAAAACTGGTTGGAGCTGCAACAACGTCGAATTTAACGAACGAAAACGAAGATTTGCTTTTATCCAATATCTCTTGTTTTTTTTTAAATTAATCTGCAATAAAGATAGTTCATGTTATTATCTCAGTATATAATTGAATGAATATAAAATTAAAAAGTATAAAGTATTTTTATAAATTTCATTAGTACACAAAATATTTTCGTCCAAAATATCAATTTAATTAAAAGTATTGAAAAATAACATGTCATTGTTTGAAACAGGACTAATCAAGGACTTTAAAACTGTATAAAAAATAGCATAAAAATAAACTAGAAAAATATGTACTATTGTTTCTTTATTTTGTTCAATTAAAATTTTGTTAGTTTTGAAATCACACACTGATCGAAACCGCACTAACATCACATAGTCGTACTTCATAAACATATTTGATGTCAAGTACAATAGTATTAATTGGGAGGCAGACTATCGCCCACAAAGTTTTTTTTTAGGATTTTGTGTTATAACTTGTTACTGTATCAAGTTGTATTTAAATGTTGATACAAAGCATTGAATTGTACCAAGTTTGAAGGTCATGCATTTCGTGTAGTCAAATAAATCATCCGATGGTCATCAAGCACTTCTTTTTTGAAATTAAATTATTCAGTGGTCTTCAAACTTTGTCGGCACAAAAACCATTAGGATTATGCAATGGAATCACGGTTGTTATAAATTTGTTCTTAAAGGCTGTTCAATGTAAAATGGTAATAATATCTAAAATAAACACAATACATGCAATATTGATGAAAATTTATCAATATCTTCTTTGTACGGTGGTTATTTGATTACATAAGCAGACGGTGTTGGGATTATTAGACATGTTCGGGAACCGAAATTTTGTTGAAATGCGAAATGTTTTTTTATTTTAGATATACAGTGGTGCCTCACACAACGAACTTAATTCGTTCCAGGAGCAAGTTCGTTATGCGAAAAGTTCGTTATGTGAAACGCGTTTTCCCATAACAATACATGTTAAAAAAAATAATTCGTTCTGTAGCATAAAATATGGTAAGATGACATAAAAAAAGATAAATTTTTTGTTATTATTTTTATTTAGATACATCTAAAAACATAATGAAAAAAACACACATTTTTTAATTTTAAGAAATAATGATTGTAATGATGAACGATTGCTGCGACACGTGCGTAAGTTAAGTTACTGCTCAGTGACTAACGACTGCCTGCGCGGAAGGATGCA